AATGGGGGGCCTAGCAAACCTAGAACAGCTTTCCCGACTTTCTTAAAAAGGGAAAATCTTGGGACCCTGAAAACACCGTTTTTCGTTGGGCCCCTTTTGGGAAAGAATGCGGCCCCATTTTGGAAACCCCAACACCTTTTCCAAGCACGTAAAAAAACTAGAAAAAGTGAAAAGGGTTTTGCAACAAGGCTAGCCCCAGAGCAAAAGAGGTAGCCCTACAGGAGGGGTTTAAGGGAAAATAAACCCTGACGACACTGGGGGAAAGGGGAGAGTTTAGGGGGGGCATGAAAAACGACATACAAAATACTGAGGGGAATTGAAAAGGGGTGGACAAAGACAGGATGTTCCAGGGGTTTGGGGAAACAGTAAAAAGGGGGGGGGACCATTGGAAGTTTGGGGCACGATGAATAAACGGGGATGTTGGGAAAGGGAAATTTTTTTAACCCAAAGGGTTAGTCAGTAAGTGGAATTTTTGGGAAAGCGATGTAGTGGGGGAAAGGATCCATACATAGCTTTAAGAAGAGGTATGAAAAAGCCACGGCTCGGGGAGAGGGACCAAAGAAAGCGATGTAAAGAGGCGGGGCCGGAAAGCTGGGAAATTTCCCCCGAACCTAAATAGGTGAGTACACAGCCACAACACAACCCCAAACACACACACACACACACACACAGCCACACACACACCCACACACACAAAACACCCCCCACACACCCCCCACACAGCCACACCACACAAAACACACCCACACACACAAAACAGCCACAACCCCCGCCAAAACACCCCACAGCCACACACCCCACTTGCCTTTGGCACACGGGGCCACACAAACCACAGCCACACCAAAACACAGCCACCCAAAGCCACACACAACACCCCACACACTCACAGCCACACACACACAGCCCCACACAAAGCCAAAACACACATAGCCAAAACACACACACCCACACACACACCCCCCCACACCCCACACTGCTGCGCCCCAAAAGCCACACACACACCCACCCCACACACCCAGCCACACAAATAACACACCCGCACACACACACCCGCACACCACAGCCAAAAACCCCACACCCCACACCACACAGCCCCACACAAAAGGGCCCCAAAAACACAGCCCCAAAACCCCAACCCACACAAAACACGCACACACATACCCACACACACACACCCAACAAAACCCACGGGCCACCCCACACACACACGCCCCCACAAAAACCACAGCCAAAACACACACAGCACACACACGCCCCACCACACCACACACACCCCACACACAAAACCCCACCCCAAAACAACACACAACACCCCACACACAGCCAACACCACACCACACCCACACACACACACACAGCCACACCACACACACACGCCACACCACCAAAACCCCCCACACACAAAAAGCCAAAAAACCAAACACACCCACACACCACACACACACCCAAACACCACACGGGCACACCCGCCAAAACACCCCAAAAGTACCACACACACACCCCCACAACACAGCCCCACCCCAAGCCCCACACACAACCCCCCCAAACCCCCAAACCCCCCAAAACACACAGCCCCCCCACACAAAAGCCCCACACCCACAAAAGCCCCAACACCCACACACCCCCACCCCACACACACCCCCCCACAAAAACCAACACGCCCCACAACACACCCAGCCCCACACAAAAACACAGCCCCCCCCAACACCCCCCAACACACACACAGCCCCACACAAAACACCCCACCCACACACACACACACAGCCACCACCCCCAACAAGCCACACACACACACCACCCCACACCCCACACACACACCCCCACCACACCCCACCACACACACCCCACACACACACACAAAACCCCCACACACACACACCCCAAACAAAACACACACACCAACCACACCCCACAAAACGGGCCACACACACACACACACACAAAACCACACCAAAAACACAGCCACACACAAACACACCACACACCACAAAAACCACCCAACACCCCACACACACGGGCCAACACACACACACACAGCCACACACACACACACAGCCACACACACACACACAGCCCCACACACACAGCCACACACACACACACACACACAGCCCCACACACACAGCCCCACACACACACACAGCCCCACACACACACACAGCCACACACACACACAGCCACAGTGAAGAGGCGGGGCCAGGAGCTCGGACTCGACCCCGCAACCTCAACTAGGTGAGTACAACTAGGTGAGTACACACACACACACACACACACACACACACACACACACACACACACACACACACACACAGCCACACTGTTTCGCTCCATTCTCTCTACATGTCCGAACCACCTCAACAACCCTTCCTCAGCCCTCTGGACAACAGTTTTGGTAATCCCGCACCTCCTCCTAACTTCCAAACTATGAATTTTCTGCATTATATTCACACCACACATTGCCCTCAGACATGACATCTCCACTGCCTCCAGCCTTCTCCTCGCTGCAACATTCATCACCCATGCTTCACACCCATATAAGAGCGTTGGTAAAACTATACTCTCATACATTCCCCTCTTTGCCTCCAAGGACAAAGTTCTTTGTCTCCACAGACTCCTAAGTGCACCACGCACCCTTTTCCCCTCATCAATTCTATGATTCACCTCATCTTTCATAGACCCATCCGCTGACACTTCCACTCCCAAATGTCTGAATACATTCACCTCCTCCATACTCTCTCCCTCCAATCTGATATCCAATCTTTCTTCACCTAATCTTTTTATCCTCATAACCTTACTTTTTCCTGTATTCACTTTTAATTTTCTTCTTTTGCACACCCTATCAAATTCATCCACCAATCTCTGCAACTTCTCTTCAGAATCTCCCAAGAGCACAGTGTCATCAGCAAAGAGCAACTGTGACAACTCCCACTTTGTGTGATTCTTTATCTTTTAACTCCACACCTCTTGCCAAGACCCTCGCATTTACTTCTCTTACAACACCATCTATAAATATATTAAACAACCATGGTGACATCACACATCCTTGTCTAAGAAATAATTTCCCTCTTTCCTACATACTCTAACTTGAGCCTCACTATCCTCGTAAAAATTCTTCACTGCTTTCAGTAACTTACCTCCTACACCATACACCTGCAACGTCTGCCACATTGCCCCCCTATCCACCCTGTCATATGCCTTTTCCAAATCCATAAATGCCAGAAAGACCTCTTTAGCCTTATCTAAATACTGTTCACTTATGTTTCACTGTAAACACCTGGTCCAGCACGGATTTATGGAAGGCAAATCCTGTGTCGCAAACCTACTAGAGTTTTATGACAAGGCAACTGAGGTAAGAAATGAGGAGGGGTGGGTTGATTGCATTTTTTTTTGGACTACAAGAAGGCCTTCGACTCAGTTCCTCACAAGAAGCTAGAGGATCAGCCACATATAACAGGAAGGGCACTGCAATGGATCAGAGAATACCTAACAGGAAGGCAATGACGACTCATGGTCCGTGATGTATCACAGTGGGCGCCTGTGACAAGCAGGGTCCCACAAGGGTCAGTCCTGGGGCCAGTGCTATTCTTGCTATATGTGAATGACATGATGGAAGGGATAGACTCAGAAGTGTCCCTGTTTGCAGATGATGTGAAGTTAATGAGGAGAATTAACCCCTTAAGTATCGCAACCCCAAATCCTGAGATGTCTCCTGGTGTCGCAAAATTTCCAAAAAAAAAAAAAAAATTTTTTCTTATGAAATGATAGAGAATATTTTCCCAATTGTAATGACACCAAAAGAATGAAATTTGGTGGAAAATTGACGGAATTATGCTCTCGCAAATTTAGCGACCTCGGCGATATTTACGAATCTGAGATTTCGCCCACTTTGAGCCCTATTTTCGGCTAATTCCATTGTTCCAGTCGACCAAACTCGTAGCTATTTTTTTAGAACTTCATTTTTTCCTATCGATCGAGTACAAGAAACTGCCCATATTCCGATTTCAACTACCCAATAACGTGATCAGGAATTTGCAATTTGGCCAATTTCACAAAAATTAAAAAATGACAATTTCGAAGTAGGGTCCAGAATGAACAATGCAGACATTCCTGGCTCTAAAATAACATTTTCTATGTTTATCAGTCACGTCTCCAGGCCCCTCTGATATTATTCAAACAAAAATAAAAGATTTACAGTTATGCAGACTACTGCAATATTGTAATAATTGTATAAATAATGTCATCCCATTCATGACTGCATATTAGAATAGCTAATTGGACATTTATTGGAAAATGACATCATTTTACTTTTGAACATCGGCAAAAATCAAACATTTCCCCTACTTTGAGCTCCATTTCAAGATTCTTTCCATAGTAAAACCAACCAAAATACCTCTGTTTATAAAATATGTTTTCCATTCTATCAAATGAGAGCAAGAAAACGAGAATACAACCATAAATACTACACGAAAATAGACCACAACGTCGGCATTTTAATTTAAAAAAAAACTGTCGAGTTTTTTTTTTTTCTCATTATGCACTGTGCTGCAGGATTTTTTTTATATGGTGCACACTGACCACACAGACCCATTCTCACTTGTGGGCCTACCAGCTTTCTCCTACTTGATTTGAAGTCTCTAGAATTAGAGTATATATACGTGAAAAGCAGTGGCTCGTAAGACGCATATATACGACCGAAAAAGTCAAAGGGTTAAGGCTACAAACATTTTAAGGTATGTAATGAGTGTACTATATGTGTATTTTACTTTTTTGTTTTTTAATGCCTAGTTCTATAACATGGATTTTATCTAACACGGCATTTTCAGGAATGTAATTAGTGTAATATAAGAGTCTACTGTAATTGAAAACTGCTGCACGAGAGAAATGCCATAAAGCAAAGATCTGTAAAGCGAGCCCTCCTGTATTTACTTGTAGGTGCAAGATGGTAGTGAGAATAAGAAAATTACATGTACTGTAATACACCAATATTGTTTTACTTGCAGGTGGAACTGACTGATGGCGATAAGAAGAAAGATTTCTACGTGACTATGAAGAAGGCTAATGCTGGGTCCTTGAAGGAGCTCATGATGGCTATAAAAGCCAAACCTAGTGACAGAGAAATTTTGCCACAGTTTATAATGCAGGTAAAATATTTGGTACTTGAGCCTGGTTCTTCCTTTCCTTAAACCTTTCACTGTTGTGACCTTTAAATTAACCCTTCAAAGCCTAGACAATTGTGTAAGGTAAGGGGTATGCCTTCATATTTGATTTAGTTTTTCTCCATTTGTTTGGGTTGTCTGACCTCAAGCCAGAGGAAAACAAAAGTTACTGCTGGGTCAGCAGAGGGGAGGTAGGGTGATACTGCCTCAGTCAGCTAGTCTCAGTGGCTGGCTGGAAAATGCAGATTCATTAGTGACTATGGCAGTTCTAATATGCTATGGTGAACATTCCACACGGTGCACCCCGCTTCCCTATCACCTTGACAATACCAAACAGCCCTGACACTGTCGACACTACATGCCACTCTTGTAGCTGCCTGCCCTGGCAACACTTGACTACCAGTTGTCCTACCTTATTCATGGGACACTTGGCACATCACACACCTTATTGCTGTAAGGTGTGATGTGCCACTGTGCTCATCTCGGTGTTTCAATAAATGTTGCGCCTTGAAACAATTGTAATATAACAGTTCCTGGTACAAAATGTTGAAATATAAACAATCATTAGAAATAAGATAATAAACCATACCACGGGCGGGATTTGAACCCGCGGTCAGAGTTTCAAAACTCCAGACCGTCGCGTTAAATACAGAATTTATTGAAGTAGTGTAATGTGCTTCTCTGCCTGTTTCAAGTACTAAAACAACTTGAAAAAGATATTCACTGAAATATTGTATATTTTTTTTTTTTCTCTCTCTCTCTCTCTCTCAACAAGTCGGCCGTCTCCCACCGAGGCAGGGTGACACAAAAAAGAAAAAATCCCCAAAAAGAAAATACTTTCATCATTCAACACTTTCACCACACTCGCACATTATCACTGTTTTTGCAGAGGTGCTCAGAATACAACAGTTTAGAAGCATACACATATAAAGATACACAACATATCCCTCCAAACTGCCAATATCCCAAACCCCTCCTTTAAAGTGCAGGCATTGTACTTCCCATTTCCAGGACTCAAGTCCGACTATATGAAAATAACCGGTTTCCCTGAATCCCTTCACTAAATATTACCTGCTCACACTCCAACAGATCGTCAGGTCCCAAGTACCATTCATCTCCATTCACTACCTATCAACATGCTCACGCACGCTTGCTGAAAGTCCAAGCCCCTTGCCCACAAAACCTCCTTTACCCCCTCTCTCCAACCCTTTCGAGGATGACCCCTACCCCGCCTTCTTCCCCTATAGATTTATATGCTTTCCATGTCATTCTACTTTGATCCATTCTCTCTAAATGACCAAACCACCTCAACAACCCCTCTTCTGCCCTCTGACTAATACTTTTATTGACTCCACACCTTTTCCTAATTTCCACACACCAAATTTCCTGCATAATATTTACACCACACATAGCCCTTAAACAGGACATCTCCACTGCCTCCAACCGTCTCCTCGCTGCTGCATTTACCACCCAAGCTTCACACCCATATAAGAGTGTTGGTACTACTATACTTTCATACATTCCCTTCTTTGCCTCCATAGATAACGTTTCTTGACTCCACATATACCTCAATGCACCACTCGCCTTTTTTCCCTCATCAATTCTATGATTAACTTCATCCTTCATAAATCCATCTGCCGACACGTCAACTCCCAAGTATCTGAAAACATCACTTCTTCCATACTCCTCCTCCCCAATTGATATCCAATTTTTCTTTATCTAAATCATTTGACACCCTCATCACCTTACTCTTTTCTATGTTCACTTTCAACTTTCTACCTTTACACACCTTCCCAAACTCATCCACTAACCTTTGCAATTTTTCTTTAGAATCTCCCATAAGCACAGTATCATCAGCAAAAAGCAACTGTGTCAATTCCCATTTTGAATTTGATTCCCCAAAATTTAATCCCACCCCTCTCCCGAACACCCTAGCATTTACTTCCTTTACAACCCCATCTATAAATATTTTAAAAACAACCATGGTGACATTACACATCCCTGTCTAAGACCTACTTTTACCGTAAAGTAGTCTCCCTCTCTTCTACACCCTAACCTGAGCCTCGCTCTCCTCATAAAAACTCTTTACAGCATTTAATAACTTACCACCTATTCCATATACTTGCAACATCTGCCACATTGCTCCTCTATCCACTCTATCATATGCCTTTTCTAAATCCATGAATGCAATAAAAACTTCCCTACCTTTATCTAAATACTGTTCACATATATGCTTCAATGTAAACACTTGATCTACACATCCCCTACCCACTCTAAAACCTCCTTGCTCATCCGCAATCCTACATTCTGTCTTACCACTAATTCTTTCAATTATAACCCTACCGTACACTTTTCCTGGTATACTCAGTAAACTTATTCCTCTATAATTTTTAGTCTCTTTTGTCCCCTTTCCCTTTATATAAAGGGACTATACATGCTCTCCGCCAATCCCTAGGTACCTTCTCTTTCATTCGTTTATTAAACAAAAGTACCAACCACTCCAACACTATATCCTCCCCTGCTTTTAACATTTCTGTCATGATCCCATCATCTCCAGCTGCTTTACCCCCTTTCATTTTACGTAATGCCTCACGTACCTCCCCCACACTTACATTCTGCTCTTCTTCACTCCTAAAGGATGGTATACCTCCCTGACCAGTGCATGAAATTACTGCTTCTGTTTCTTAACATTTAAAAGTTCCTCAAAATGTTCTTGCCATCTACCTAATACCTCCATCTCCCCATCTACTACCTCCCCTACTGTTTTTAACTGACAAATCCATACTTTCCCTAGGCTTTCTTAACTTGTTTAACTCCAAAATTTTTTCTTATTGTCATTAAAATTTCTTGACAGTGCCTCTCCCACTCTATCATCTGCTCTCCTTTTGCACTCTCTCACCACTCTCTCTACCTTTCTTTTACTCTCCATATACTCTGCTCTTCTTATAACACTTCTGCTTTGTAAAAACCTCTCATAAGCTACCTTTTTCTCTTTTATCACACCCTTTACTTCTTCATTCCACCAATCACTCCTCTTTCCTTCTGCCCCCACCCTCCTATAACCACAAACTTCTGCCCCACATTCTAATACTGCATTTTTAAAACTATTCCAGCCCTCTTCAACCCCCCCCCACTACTCATCTTTGCACTAGCCCACCTTTCTGCCAGTAGTCGCTTATATCTCACCCGAACTTTCCTCCTCCCTTAGTTTATACACTTTCACCTCCCTCTTACTTGTTGTTGCCACCTTCCTCTTTTCCCATCTACCTCTATATAATAGTCTATAATATAATAGTCTTAAACATTGAAAAAAATGTACATAATTACCAAAAAAAAGAAGTGGAATTGCTGTTGCCACTGAGGTTTTTATCCAAAATGGTGGGGAAACTTCTTGTAAGTAATTACAACAAACTTGCAAATTTAATGTAAGACGTATGAAATTGTCCAGGGCTGAAGGTCAGGGAGGCACTTCATGCAACTGAGATTTCTGCAATTTCTGCCTATTTTGCTAGAATGCATTCTGTAGTATTGAAAGAATTAGCCCATTCAGCTTTCTGAACATCCATGTAAAGTGCCAAGAAGTTTGAAATTTGGCCAGTTTTACACAGTTCAACAACTTCAGATTTAAAAACCCTCCAAACAATTGCTGTAGGTATTGCATCCACTAAAATGACCTCTGCTTTGTTCATTACCCCTTGACTGTCGCAACCCCCAATCCTGAGGTCTCCTGGTGTCATAAAATAAAAAAAAAAAAAATTTTCTTACGAAATGATAGAGAAGCTTTTCCTGATTGTAATGACACCAAAAAAAAAAAAAAAAAAAAAAAATTTGATGAAAAACTGAGGGAAATTTACGCTCTTGCAATTACGGCCTCGCGAATTTAAAAATGGGCGTTTTTCCCCCATTTTGACCATTTTCGGCTAATTCCTTTTTCCCAGTCAACCAAACTCATAGCTATTTTTTTAGAACTCCATTTTTTCTATTGATTGAGTCAAGAATGCCCATTTCCGATTTAAACTACCCAAAAACGTTTTTAAAAAAATTTGAAATTTTTGGCCCCTTTCACAAAAAATTAAAAAATTTGAAAATTTCAAAAATGGCCCCAAATGAAAAAAGCGTCATTCCTGGCTCTACAATAACATTTTCTATGTTTATCTATGTCCCCGGGCCCCTCTGATATTACTCAGCTTTCTTTTTTGAATTTTTTTTTCAAACAAAAAATAGAAGATTTCCCGTTATGCAGATTTTCTGTAAATTGTAATATTGTACAATGATGTCAACCCTTCTGACGATATTAAAATGGTTTGTTGGACATTTTTTGGACAAGACATCATTTTTTTACTTTTAAACATGGAAAAAAAATTAAAAACTTTCCCCTTTTTTGAGCTCTTTCCGGGTTTCTTTCATAAAAAACCAACAAAACACCTTTTTTATAATGTGTTTTCCTTTCTATCAAATGAGACAAAAAAAAAAGAAATACAACTAAAAATACTATACGAAAATTGACCACAAAGTGGGCTTTTTAATTTTTTTTTTTCTCGTTATGAGCTGCCCAGAATTTTTTTTATTGGTGCACCTGCCCACCCCCCTTTCTCTCCTGGGGGCCCTACCAGCTTTCTCTGCTTGATTTGAAGCCGCAAAAAGGGTTGATGTATATACTCAAACAGGGTACTTCCAAGCGTGTAATAACGCCAAACAGTGAAGGGGTTTAATCAGGTCCAGGTCTCTTCAAACAACAATGCCCTTTATTTTAAATACATCAGACACAAAAAAATTAAAGTTTACCCTTATTTTTGGGCTAATAAAAAAATAAACAAAGGCCTAGTTTGGGTTTATAAGAGTGCAAAGCACACTAGCAAGAACCCTAAATATTTTTTTTTATCACACTCGCCCATTTCCCCCCAAGGCGGGTGGCTAAAAAAAAAAAACTTTTTAACATGATTTATCCACACGTCTTGCAGAAGGGTGCTTTACACTACGTTTTT